AACCTTCCTTCCGAGGAGTGGCTGGTGGGTTTGAACCGCCAGCCATCTGGTTAGCAGGCAAGTGTCTTAGCCACTATGCTACCAGAGCTCCTCGGAAACCCAAGGAGGGGTCACTATGAGTTGGATCTGACCTGATCGCAAACACAACTACAACAACATACCTGTGGTTGAGAGCTCTGGTGGCATAGTGCCTAAGGCATTTGACTGCTGACCAGAAGGCTGGTGGTTTAAACCCACCAGGCATTCCTTGGAAGGAAGATTGGGCAATCTACTTCCATAGTGATACTGCCTCAGAAACTCAAGGAGGGGTTGCTATGAGTTGGATCTGACTTGACAGTGAGTTTGGTTTTGGTTTTTGGTGGCGCAGTGCCTAAAGCATTTATTTGGCTGCTAACCAGAATGTTGGTGGTTCAAATCCACCAGCCACTCCCTAGAAGGAAGACAGGGCAATCTACTTCCGTAAAGATTTACTGCCTGGAGGGGGTTGTGTGTCACTATGAGTTGGGATGGACTCCCTGGCAGTGGGTTTGTGGGTTTTGTTATGTTAATGAGACCTCATTAGTGTAGGGGGTGTCTTAAATCAATCTCTTTTGAAATTTAAAAGAGATTAAATAAGGAAGTGAGCAAACAGAGGTGGGGGAAGATAGATGCCACACCAAGGAGCCAAGAATAGAAGCTGAAGACAAAAACTTTTCCCCAGAGCCAATAGAGAGAGAAAGCCTTGCCCTACAGCCAGTGCCCTGAATTCGGGCTTCTGGCCTTCTAAACAGTGAGAAGATAAATTTCTGTTCTTTAAAGACACCCACTTGTGGTTATTTCTGTTACGGAGTTAATGAGATTGTGAAGGGGAAGAGGTTGGGCACAGGGAACTGGCAGGAGGATGTTCCAGATGCCCTCCTGTGTCCCGCTCCAAATCAAGGTGCAAAGGTACTAATGGTAGCTGATGGAGCAGTGGTCCTTCCTGTGCTCAGGAGGGGAGACCCCACTCTTAGAGGCGGCGGCAACTTTGGTCTCTGCCTACTCAGGTTCACTGAGAAACTGGTCAACCAGCTGACCAAGGCTGACCATTCAGCTCTGTGCTGCTCTGATCATACTAGAGATGACCTAAGTAAATTCTCACAACAGCCCTAAACCAAAAACCTATGGCTGTCAATTCCGACTCATAGTAAATCCATGTGTTACACAGTAGAAATGCTCCATAGGGTTTTCAATGACTGTGACCTTTAAGAAGTAGATCACCAGGCCTTTTTTCAGAGGCACCTCTGGGTAGACTAGACTCAAACTGTCAGCCTTTCAGTTAGCAGCCAAGTGTTTAACTGTGTGTGGCACCCAGGCAGCCTACAAGGTGTTGTTATGTGCTGTCGAGTCGGACCTGACTCATAGTGACCCCTCCTTGGGTTTCTGATGCAGTATCACTATGGAAGTAGATTGCCTCACCTTCCTTCAGAGGAGTAGCTGGTGCGTTTGAACCGCCAGCCTTCTGGTTAGCAGTCAAGTGCCTTAGACATTACGCTACCAGAGCTCCTTACAAGGTATTATAATCCCATTTTATAGGTGTATAAATAGGGACTCAATGACTTAAGTAATTTGGCCATAGTCACAGAGCAGCAAATTACAGAAGTGGGATTCAAACTCTAATCAATCTAACTCCAAAATCCTTCTTCCACTATATCTTGTGCCTGGCTTCTAAAGAAGATATGAGAAAGACCTTCTAATAATTCTACACCCAAAAGAAGAGTCTCATAATATGTGACCTCCCTTGAAGGGCTCAAGCAGAGGGGTCAAGAAGCTGGGAGGGCAACTGGTGCAGGTGTTGGGGGTTGGTGCTCTACTGCACATTAGCGCTTACTTGCTTCTCCAGCTGGGCCTCCAGCTGGCTGATGAGCTCATCTTTGTCCTGCACGACTTTCAGCAATTCTTGGTACTTCTGGTGCAGGCTGCCTGGTGAGTCCACATTCTTCAGATTGGACAGTTTCACCTTCTCTTCCATCACACTCACCTGAAAAGTACCAATCATCTCATAGGGTTGAGAATGTTTTGTGTGAATTGGCTAATAAGATGGGACACGATGTCTCCCGACGTCCCATACTGACTCCCAGGTAGAACACTTACCCAGGGTAGTCAGGACCAATTAATTGAATGGCCGTTTATTAAGCTCTCATCTGGAAAACAGAAGGAACTCATTTCATCTACTCTAAAAAACAGCTGGGCCATGGGCCATCCAACTCTGGGGCTCCCAGTAGGAATTAGATGGGCAGGACACATAGCCCTGGAGAGCAGCTGTTCTGACCTCAGAGTGGCAGAGATTTACTGCTTTCTGAATGTACAGGTGCTTCCTCATAATTCCCAACCCTGTTATAGTTAGGGGAGGGCCACGTAATTCACTTTAGCCAATGGGCTCTGAGTGGAAATAAACACATCACATCTGGCTGAAGAAGGTAGGAGCTGGTACACAGGCATTCAGCTCTCTCTTTCCTTGCCATGGCAACCAAGGGGTGAGTGTTCAAGATGGTCTAGCAATATGACAGGGGAGCCTCCATTAGCCTGGATCTCTGAATGCTTATGTGGAGTAGCATCCCTGGCTAGCTGTCAATGGATATATACTGTGAGTGAGAACTAAATGTGATAAATCACTGAGATTTCAGAATTCATGTGTTACTTCAATATAGCCTAGTCTGTTCTGACCAATATACTCATCCACTCACTGCACTGACCCTTATCCAAAGACTCCTTTATTCCCATAGAAAGTTCTATGCACCTTAATTTTTCAGGCCTGATAACATGTGATTGCTGGATTTCCTCATCCCTGTAAGAAGATCATCAGTGTCCAGGTGTCCATGGAAAGGGCCAGGAAAGGCCAATGGTCATTTTGCCTGCATGCTCCTGCCAATCCTTTCCCCTGGTTACCTGAGTCTCTGCGTTCTCTGCTCTCTGCTCCGCCTCCAACAGCCTCTGCTCCAGTTCTTGCATCTGTTCAACCAAAGAGGAAGGGGAGATATAGGCCCAGTTTTCCTACTGTGAACATGGCAGCAGGGCAACTCAAGGGAATGTTGCTGACACTATATACAGGCAGACTGCCCATTTCAAGTGGCTCAAGTAGGCCAGGTACCAGGGTGAAGATTTTCATGGCAAATCTCAGCTCCCCAATTCTTAGGAATTGGATTGTGTCCCCCCTCCAAAACAAAATATGTATTGGAATCCTAATTCCTATACTGATGATAAGGATTGGAGGAAGACTTAATAACAACCTATGATATGCAGATGACACAACCATGCTTGCTGAAGTGAAGAGGACTTGAAGCACTTACTAATGAAGTTCAAAGACTACAGCTTTCAGTATGGATTACACCTCAGCATAAAGAAAACTAAAATCCTCACAAATGGAACAATAAGCAACATCCTGGTAAGTGGAGAAAATATTGACATTGTCAAGGATTTCATTTTACGTGGATCCACAGTCCACACCCATGGAAACAGTAGTCAAGAAATCAAACATACTGCATTGGGCAAATCTTCTGCAAAAGACCTCTTTAAAGTATTGAAGAGCAATTACTTTAAAGACTAAGGGTGCCTGATGGATGCCATGGTATTTTCAATAGCCTTGTATGTTGTGAAAGCTGGATAATGAATAAAGAAGACCACAGAAAAACTGATGCATTTTAATTGTACTGTTGGAGGAGAACACTGAATACACCATGGATTGCCAGAAGAATGAACAAATTCATCTTGGAGGAAGTACAGCTAGACTGCTCCTTAGAAGCAAACATGACCAGACTTTGCCTTTTGTATTCTGGTCATGTTATTAGAAGGGACCAGGATCTGGAGAAGATATCATGCTTATTAAAGTACAGGGTCAATGTGATGTAGTAAATTACATAGAGTGGCTTTTCTAGCCATAAGTCTTTGTAAACTCCATGGTGGAATTTGCTGTGAGCAACTCAGTAGCTCCTGATTGTTCAAGTTATCCACCTGGGGTATTTCTGCTGGAAGCAGCATGAAGTAATTCTCTGGGAAATTCACTCTCTCAGGTGTGTAGAACTCTTGATGTTGGGATTGGTTTGTTTGGGCCACTCTGCCAGCTGGCTGAGAAAGATGTGCTGCTGAGAGAAACATGCTTCTGAGAGATAAGAGAGAGATGTGAGAGACATGCACTGCTGAGAGAGTGGTGTGCTACTGAGACTGCCGGCTGCTGAGTGAGATGGCTAGCTGTGAGAGACTGAATGCATTTCTGAACTTGAACTGTAGCCTGTTGCTTCCCTAATAAACCCCATAATCTGTGAGTTCTGGTGCCCACTGTAGCAAATTATTGAACCCAGTGGAGAGGTAGTGGATGCTGTGGGAGGAACGGTTGGTGAAAGGACTGGAGGGAGGCAACATGTGTGGCCTCACAAGAATAGGCCTTGGGCTACTCATGGTGATTCTGTCTTCCTCTTGTGGGGTTAGAGGAGGTCAGAAGATGGTGCCTCCCTTTCCCTTTTGCAGTCAACAAAAACAAGGAAGACTCTCAATAAGATGAATTGACACAATGGCTGTAACAATGGGCTAAAGCATAGCAATGACTGTGAGGATGGTGCAGGACCAGGCAGTGTTTTGTTCTGTTTTACACAGGGTCACTGTAAGTCAGAACTAACTCGACAGCACCTAACAACACTGATGGGTATAATGTAATTTAATGACCTCACATGTAGTGTAATGTAATCATCTTCCATAATGCAATCTAATGTAATGTAATCAATTAATCAGTTGAGGTCACATACATGTAGGATGGATCCTAAACTTCTGATTTATATAAAGAGCAGCAGAGATACAGAGACACATATGCACACACACAAGGAAAGATATTATGTGAGGATCATCAAGGAACCAAGGAATGCCCAGGAGGGAACTGACATAGCCAATACCTTGATTTGAACTTTCAGCCTCCAGAACTGTGAGGAAAAAAAAAAAAAATCTGTTCTTTAAAACCATTCACTTGTGGTAATTCGGTTACAGAAGCACTGGGAAACTAAGACACAGACTCTGAATTTATGAGGCACATGAAACCACATGTGAAAAGTACATGGCTGCTGTCCTTTCTGCTAAGGGAGTGAAATGTCTAGTTCTTTCTTCCTTTTGCCGGTATCTGGTAAGAGATAGCAGTACCACTGTCATTGTTCCTGAGGGATTCCTGCCATCAGTCCTGCTTCTTTCTCTCCCTGAGGCCTCTTTCCTCTTGGCTCTGGGTTCCAGATATGCCATGCCATGGCTCCCCCTGTCCCTGCCATTGAATGTGCCCCCGTATGAACCCATATTTAGTCAACAGTAAGAGACTGTTTCTGCCCACCCTCATTGGCTGGGGACAAACACCTCCTCACACATGTTGAGGACCCTCTGAATGGAGTGACATTCACCAGTAGCACCTTACTTTAATTTTAAGAAGATAGAGGGAAAGACACTGTTTTTTATAAATTGTGTCTTGCTTGCAGTAGAGGCATATTATACAGGATTGCATATTATTCAGCAATCTTAGACCCTCCCACCAAATGGTCCTAGCAAAGGGAGCAAAGTTCCAGCCTACGAATTTCATCAGGGACCAGGTCTAGGCTGAAGCCTAAGGAGCTGCTCACAAGCTCACAGTCTAGGGGGCATCTTCGCAACTATGTAAGCTCACAGCTTGGCAGGTGGAAGGTGGGTTGGATTTCAGCTCCCATTCTCCCCCTGGCCAGGGTACTGCTGCCCCCACTGAACACCATTACATGGAGGGCCCTGAAGAACTGAAGTAGATCCATACATATCAAACTCCATGTGCCCAGTCAGAGTCAGCTGTTTCCTTTCCCACCTTATCTTGACCTAGGGCAACATTTATGCATTATGATTATACTACCACCACCAATTGACATGGAGTCAACCCCAACTCATGGTGATCCCATGTGTGTCAGAGTAGAATGGTACTGCTCCATATAGTTTTCAAAGATTGATTTTTCAGAAGCAGACCACCAGGCCTTTCTTCTAAGGCACATCTGGATGGACTTGAACCTTTTGGTTAGCAGTGAGTATGTTAACCCTTGGCACTACCCATGGACTCCTACAAATATATTAGAGGCATAATGTCCCAGCCTGAGTCCTCTGTGAGGATGGATAGTCTCCAGGCTCCCTCAGCCCTTGTCTTCTGAGCTCCAGCCCAGTCCTCATCCACATCATCTCTGCAGATTTGGCCTTTTCTTTGAAAACTCAGCCTTCCCCCCCTTGGCCTGAACCATTGGATTGCTATTTACCAGTAAACTGAGCAATTCCTTCTCTTCACATTCTCTCATCAACTCAGCTGAAATTCACTTTCCCTGATGAAAGATGGGAGGGAAGGAACAGTGAAAGGAGAGTTTCACAAGAGGAAGGGTTCCTGTTCCAGAACCACGGGCTCCCCTTTCTTCAGGGCAGCCTTCGCTTGGTCACAGTACAGTTGCTTACAGAATACACTCCCTTCAAAGAGCTGGGATTACATTCAAGTGACAAGCTAGGTAAAACTCAAGATTTACAACCAATGGGACAAAAATGCCCCCTGGAGCTCTCACCCTCGACAGGCATTCATGTTCTCAGGCCAAGGATGCCTGCATCTCTTCTTTCCTTCCTCCTCTGGGATTACTGATCATGATTGAAACTCATCACTGAAGCCTGAAAGGGTGGGTTGGTTCCGGCCAGATTCAGGCATCAAATTAGAGCCAGTGCCTCTTCCAAATCAAACAGTCCTCAAGCCTGTTCTAGAGAAATCTCTTGACCTTCAAATAGTTGCTCTGCTGCTATGAGGGAGATAACAGCATAAACCAGTATTATAGTTACAGGGGTGGCTGCCCAGTGCAAAAGGAATTCCCTTTGTGGGGGAGGGGGTTTAATACATAGTGGTGACCCCACTGACCAGTTTACTGTATAGCCCCTTTCAGCTGCCCCCTTAGACACCTGACTCTGCATGGACCAATCAGGTTCTCTGTCCTCAGGAATCCAAAATCTGGAATTGAGAGTTCAGAGCCGGGAACCAGGGTGCACATACTTCACCAAGTAGTTCTTTCAGCTCTGTAAGTGGCCTCAGGATCCTTCCAATAAATTTCCTCTTTGCATAAGCAAGACAGAACAAGGGGACATTGCATGGTTTAAAACCAGGAAAGGTATGCACCAGGGTTATATCCTTTCATCACACTTGTTCAATCTGTATGCTGAGCAAATGATCTGAGAACCTAGATTATATGAGGAAGAACATGATATCAGGATTGGAGAAGACTCATTAATAACCTGTGATATGCAGATGACACAAGCTTGTTTGCTGAAAATGAAGTCTTAAAGCACTTACTGATGAAGATCATAGACTACACCCTTACACTATGGATTACACCTCAACATAACAAAAATCCTCACAATTGGACCAATAAACAATAGGAAAAAAAAAAAAAAAAAAAAAAAAAAAAAAAAAAAAAAAAAAGATTGACGTTGTCAAGGATTTCATTTTACTTGGATCCACAATCAAAGCCCATGGAAACAGCAGTCAAGAAATCAGACATTGTATTATTTTTTTAATTGTGCTTTAGGTGCAAATTTACAGAGCAGTTTGTTTTACATTCAACATTTCATGTACATTTGGTTTCAGTCCCCAATTACCATCCCCAACCCAAACCCACTCTCCTCCCCTCCCTTCCCAGTAACCCCACCCCCCACCCCTCATAGTTATGCACTCCTGTGTGTCCTGCATTTCCTCAGTGCGAATGTTGCCCCTCTGGTGCCCTGTGGTCAACTGCTCCAAGGAATGCATCTCCATAGAGTATGTGGGTATGTCACCCTGGGTCAAGGGGTCTGTGGGTATGTCTTATTTACTACTAGGCTGAGAGCCAGCCCCTGAGAGTGAGTTTATTCCAGGCCCAAAGTGTATCCCAGGGCTGTAGTATTGGGAGGCCTACCATCCGATTAGTAATTCTGGTCATTATTGTGTTTTTGGATTTTGTTCCACA